ACCATGGCACTCAACTGGACCATGGCACTAAGTGCCACGTCCCTTCATTTCTTGAACACTTCTAGGGATGGTGACTCTACCTCCTCCCTGGGAAGCCTCTTCCAATGCCTGACCACCCTTTCCATGAAGAAATTCCTCCTAATGTCCAACCTGAACCTCCCCCGGTGCAACTTAAGGTTATTTCTTCACATTCTATCACTTGTTGCCTGGGAGAATAGACACCTTGTTACAACCTCCTTTCATGTATTTGTATATAGGGATAAGATCTCCTTTGAGCCTACTTTTCTCCAGGCTAGAAAACCCCAGCTCTCTCAGGTGCTCCTCATAGGACTTACCCTTGAACCTTTGCTCATGAAGTGCTCATTTCCTGGAACACAGAGGAAGCCTGATAAAAACCCTATTTATTTCTGTATAATAATCTGCAGCCTGTTAATTTTTGCATGGCAGCTTTGATGTCATTGTTCCTCATGGTGTAAATGACTGGATTTATCACTGGTGGCAACACAGAATAGAAAAGAGAAACTGTGAGATCTGGAGCTGATTGGGAGTTAGAGACAGGCTTAAGGTAGGCAAAAGAACCAGTGCTAACAAACATAGAGACCACAATGAGATGGGGGATGCAGGTTGAAAACGCTTTATGCTGGATTTCCTTGACAGGAATTCGCAAAACCACAGTGAAAATCTGAATATAAGACATACTTATAAAAACAAAACAGAGGGCAACTAAAAAAAACCTAAATGTAAGAACCCCAACTTCACTAAAATATGAATGAGAACAGGAAAGCTTGAGAAGCTATGGAGCTTCACAAAAGAACTGTGCAATAATGTTGGACTTGCAGAAGGTTAAAGAAAAGATGTTCCCAGTGTGGAGAGCAGAGTAAGGGACACAGCTGAGCCATGCACTGGCTGCCATGAGGCTGCAAGTGCTCCCCTTCGTGATGATATTGTAGTAAAGAGGTCTGCAGATGGCAATATAATGATCATATGCCATGACAGTCAGTAAATCAAGTTCAGCAGCACCAAAAACATGGAAGAAAAAGACTTGGGCAACACAGCCGGAATAGGAGATGGAATAGGAGATGGTATTCCATAGATTCTATTCCATAGAAAACTGGCCATGGACTTTGGGAGGGTGACAGAGATGGTTGAAAGGTCTAAGATGGACAAATTCAGCAAGAAGAAGTACATGGGGGTGTGAAGGTGATTACTGGCAGCTATAACCACAATAATGAGAAAGTTTCCCACCATGGCAGTCAGAAATAACATAAAGTGGAATATCTGCAGTTCTCGAGTGTCAGAGAATCCCATGAGAAGGAACTCAGCCACAGTGCTTTGGTTAAACATTTTCTTTCCAGTGTGTTGGTGAAAACTCTGAAGAGAAAGTCAGGGATTTTGGTTGAGACTTGAAGGTCTGCTCTGTAGTCTCTCCACCATCTGAATTTCACAGCTACCCTAAACATGTTTTGCTCACTGAAGACAAAGTTCACAAATCCCACATCATGTACCAAACTGTCAGAAACAAATCCTTCAGTAATCACAGTTCCATATATGAAATACACGTGTATGCACATACATACTATATGTATCACATATATATGTCTAGTCCACATATGATTTATATATGTGTATTACATAGAAGTTTTATATGCATATCTCTCTCTATATATGTGTATATAAACACTGCTCATATTTCCTATAATTATTTTAATATATGTTCATGTTCATATTTATACATACATACCTATATATATGTATGATGAGATCCCATAATCTCCATGATGAAGATCCAGTGTAGCAGATTTTTACCCCAGAAATATGTAGAGATAGAAACAGGAGTCCAAACGTGTCTGCAGTGATCCAACATGGACCTTTCAATGTATTTCTCCCAACAGCAGTCAGAGCTGCTAATATCACCTGTTATGGGGTGTGACTTCAGCCTTTGCTAATGGGATCCTGGTGCCTAAATGGAGTTAGAAAGTGCCAATTGAGATGTACTTCCCCTCTTGGACTTTCAGAAAGTGGCAGGTAATCAGCAGCTTCATGTAAATATATTAGCAACCTTAGGGCATCTCAAAACATGATAAACACACATTTAAGAATCAGCCTCCCACTGTAGGATGTTTTTCATAGGAGACAATCTCCCTTGATTACTGGAGAGAAAACATCAGAGTGGATTCCTGTGACCTCCTGTAAATGTCCTGCCTGAGGATGGACTGCAAAACCCTCTTTCATTGCTAATAAAATAAACACTTCTGCTAATAAAAGGAGTGCAACATGATTAGTCTGGATCTAAATGGACAATTCTAGATCTCAAAACTGAGTTGGCTAGATGAATACTTAAGTCTTCTAGGTCCCTACTTTTCTTCTCAGTCAGGGATTCACCCATCTGCACAAGAGAATTCATCCTATTGCTGTAGGGCATATCCAGTCTGAAAGAGAAAAACCATTTATGGTCTCTAATTAGCTTTTCCAAAATGTTATAAGTGCCTGCAAAATTAACTTTTTTTCTTGAACATGTTGCAGGGGGAGTAAATGTGGAGCAAAATGCTCAAAGTGACCTTGGAAGGGGCACAGGGCTCTGTGTGCTGAATCCATGGGGCAGGGGAATGAGGGGGGGAGACGCTCAAGAAAGACGAAACAGCATAAAACTGGGCTCTCTGCACATGGCTACACACAAACAGAAGCTTGCCAGAGCTCTGCAAGCACAACCCTGATGTCCCTGGAGTACCTGAGCTCTTCATTTGACCGATTTTGTGCCACATGAGGGATGTACAGGAAAGACAGGCAGGGACAGAGGGAAGGGGTTTCCTTCTATGTGAAGGAGCAGCAATTCTATGGGTGGGCAGTGGGCCAACTGGGAACTTGTGGGAAAGATTCCTATTGTAGGCTTTGTCCTCAAGCCCCAACCTCCTTCCTGGCATGTCAGTCCAGTATATCCCCATTTTCCTTCTCTTATGGAGCCCAAGATAGGATGCAGCATTGTAGGTGTGGTCAGGTGAGTACTGAGTAAAGCACACTAATCACATCCCTAGATTTCCTGGCTGGTCTCCTGCTTGACAGATCCCAGGATGATGTCAGCCTCCCATCCTGGCAAGGAAACAGTAGAGGAGATCCCACAGGTATATTCTGTAAAGGGCAAAGGAGCACAAGAGAGCTCAACATGTCTTCAAGGCAAATCTCCTTCAAGCATGAAAATGGTCCTTTTAGATACACAGGAAAACAAGCAGATCTATCAGGGGAGCAGCTTGGCCAAACAGTTGAGCTCCAAGGAGAAGGAAAACATGTATGAAGATGCATAAACATCTATTGCCACAGTAAGCGGAAAAGAACAAAGCTGGAAAGCACGGGCTCACAGCTGTGTGGGGCTTGTGATCCAGAGAGAGCAAATGAAGAAGAGATTGCCCAGAGAGGCTGTGGATTCTCCCTCGCAGGAGATATTCCAGAACTGTCTGGATTCAATCCTGTGCAATGTGCTCAAGGAAGAGCCTACTTGAGCTGGACCAGATGACCCACTGTGACCCCTTCCAACCTGAACCATTTTGTGATTCTGAGATTCTCCACGGTGGTCAAGGGACTCTTTGCCTGCCCCCTAGGGTGCCTTCTCCCCCACCTTCTTTTCTGACCTCGGTGTCTGTAGGGATGTTTCACAATTTCTCACTCCTCTCTCACAGCTGCTGTGCAGTGTCAGTCTGTTATCACAGAGCCACCACCACCATTGCTCTTTGGCTCTGTTTTTGGCAGTGGTGGGTCCGTCTTGGAGTCTTGGCTCTGTCTGACATGGGGGCACCTCTTGCTCTCTTCTCACTGAGGACACCTCTGCAGCTCCCCTTCCACCCCCAACCCTTGCCGTGCCACCCCAATATAAATACAGCGTGTGGTTTCACAGCCCTATCCCAACAGAAACCTGTGCTCATAGCAGGTCACTAAACTCCATCCACAGAGAGAATGCTGTGTATTCCTTTGTCCCTTTGGAAAGTTCCGTTTCCAGTAAACAGATACTTAGAGACTTTTCATTTGCAAACCCATGCCATGGTGACAGAATTTATTCCCATGGGAGTCACAGACGTGTCGTGTCTGTGGATTCTGCTATTCTTTTCGCTCCCATGCTTCCTGACTGTTTCTCCTTTCTGGAAACCACATTTTCCCACACCGTTGATCTGAGGGGAATGCAAAAGTCCCTGTATGGAACCAGGAATAAGTCGTCTTGGATGCTTTTATAACTAATGGCATAAGGATATAATCATAGAGGGAGACATAGAACTGGGCCAGCTTTCCTTCTGGAGTTCTTCATTACATTCCTTTGACTTTCAAGAAGACTCAGCAATAATCTAAAACTACTCAGATACCTCAAAATTCAAAATTAGACAACCTCATCTCATCTAGAGCACTTCCACACAGGGTATCACTGCAAAGAAGCATAAGTTTCATGTATGCCATGGGTTACATCCACAGGCCCCATCGTTGTATCCAAAACAGCAACTACAGAGAATGTGGAAATTTATCCCTAGTGGGGTACAGTTGCATTAAATCTGTATTTAGGTTTCTTAAGGTGTATGCTGATTTCTGACAGCAGAAGACTTACCTTAGTGGAGATGAATCCCAAGGTGCTTTCTTAGACTCAGAGAATCACATAACCTCCTGAATTGGCAGAGAACCACAAAAGTCATTGAGTCCAACTTGTGTCCCTGCACAGGACACCCCAAGAATCCCACCATGGGCCTGAGAGTATTGTTCAAATGTTTCTTGAACTTTGGAAGGTTGGGGCTGTGACCACCACCCTGGGGAGCCTGTTCCAGTGTCTGACCACCTTCTGGATGAAGAACCTTTTCCTAGTATCTATCCTAATCCTTCCCAACACAGCTTCATGCCATTTCCTCTGGCCCTGCACTATGTGAAATTTCTCTTTGATTCTGCTGTGTCCACTGAGCTGGTGAACCTTACACACGCACCAAAAATGGAAATAAGATTTTTAATACACACATTCATGGGCCAGAACAGACTTATTTCTTCACCAACACAGCCATAGTTACGATTAGTACTTCTCTCACTTCTTTATTCCTCAGGCTGTAAATCAGGGGGTTTAACATGGGAATTATGGTTGTGTATATGACAGCAACAACTTTCTTAGTGTCTTGTGAATTACGGGAATTTGGTCGTAAGTAATTCAAGGTTCCACTTGCACAGTACAATATTACAACAATAAGGTGTGAGGAGCAGGTGGAGAAGGTCTTGTGTCTGCTCTCTGCAGAGGAAATCTTCAGGATGCTGGAGATGATGCAGGCATAGGACACCAGGATGAGGCAGAATGGAGTGAAGATGACCAGCACTGTGGCTGCAACCATCTGCTTTTCATACAGCGAGGTGTCAGTGCAGGAGAGCAGGATGAGCGGGGGAATGTCACAGGAGAAGTGGTTAATCTTCCTGGGCCCACAAAAGGGCATCGTGAACACCCAAGCTGTCTGCACCACAGACACAACATTGCCACTGCAGCAGGACAGCAGGACCAAGGAAAGGCAAACTCTGGCATTCATGATGACAGTGTATCTCAGGGGGTTGCATATGGCCACGTAACGGTCATAGGCCATGGCTGCCAAAAGGTACCATTCAGTGGCTCCGAAGAAAATCACACAGTAGAGCTGCGTGGCACAGCTCATGTAGAGGATGCTCCTGTCCTCTGACAGGAAACTTACCAGCATCTTGGGGACAACAGTCGATGCTGTGGAAACATCCAGGAAGGCCAGGACCCGGAGGAAGAAGTACATGGACGTGCAGAGGGTGGGGTGCACCGTGACCACGCAGATGAGAAGGTTCCCAACGACAGTCAGGGTGTAAACTAAGCAGAATGTGAAGAACAGCAAGTGCTGCAGTTCTGGGCGGCTGGACAATCCAGAGAGGACAAATTCAGTCAGCAGAGTGTGGTTTCCTGATTCTGTTTCCTCTGTTGACTCCATCTGGGAGGAATCAAGCAGACAGACTGTCAGAGCTGTAGTCACATGACGGTGCTTCAGCCAGTTACTCAAAGAGTCTCTTGGGAACTGCTGGAGAGCTGCTGGATCAAAGGGTGTAACTGTAGAACAGGCTGAGCTGAGCAAAGTAAGAAGGCAACGACTGCAGTGGGAGTGTGCAGTGTCAGCGCTCTCCAAGTGGCATTGTTTGGGACAGTGACCAAACCTTCGACTATGAGGAGTTAGCATTTAAGGGCTGGCTCCATTCTGGGCATAGGGTTAATTGCCAAGAATATGTGCTCCCCTCAAATGTCAGGTCTGTGCTCCCAGCTGGTCCCATAGGCACTTTCTGCACTGAGAGGAACACCCAGCCGACAACTGAAACGCCCACAGACCTAAGAAAGAATAACCATTTTGCTACGTAGGGAGCAGTGGGCATTGCTCCTTGCACTCTGCTGGGACCTGGCTTTTTCTACAGAGTGGAACTGACAGGGCAGGCAGCTTCCTCCGAGATATCCAAAGTTACCTTTAGAGCAACTCAACTTTAGGTGAAAGCCAGGGAAGCTCAGGCTGTGGGAGGCTTTAGCTCATATTCACGTCACTCCCCAGCTGTCAGTGGGACAGAAAGACTTCAAAGAGCCCAGCTCTGGGGAAAGCACCCCCAAATGGAGGAACCAGAAGCTGTGAAGGGAAGACCTAAGCCAACTCCTGTCACTGGAGGAAAGCCCAGCTGACAACTGAAACACCCACAGACCAAAGAAGGCAGCACCAAAGCAAACCAAACCCAAATTCTGTCTGTAGGCAGGCAAAGGAAGAAGGAAAAATTACAGGGAGAGGTGCCCACAGAGAACGGTAAGAAAGTGCAGAGGGTGAAGCTCAGCACCATTCACTTCATTAGTGACATTTCCCCGTTCTCCCGAGAAGTTCTGCTGTGGGTGCAAGGCCAGGGGCAAATTCAGGCAGTGCTGGGCCAGCCGTGGCAGCTCTGTGTGCTCGTAATGTCTGAGACGGGAAACCGACGCACTGAAAGAAAGAAGAAATTAGCCTGACACACAGGAGAAAGGGGGCGTTAGTTGTGTGCCCTTCAGACACGTCATCTCAACAGACCTGGCACCCAGACAAGGACACGCTGTCAAAGCAAGAGCAGAGCACACAACCCTGCCATGACTCAGTCACTCCTCGGACTGACTTGGTCTAATTTCTCTTTTGGCTATAACTTGCCCTCTTTTGTCTGTGGGTTTTTTGACATGAACATGAAGGTGCAAGCTGTAGATCCTGGAGCCACAGGCAACTTTAACTTGTAATCACAGTAACTAAACTCCTAAAATTCTCAGACAGTTAATGGTCTGGTGTATTCAAAAAGAATCTTTCTGGGTTTGACTGATTCCATTAACGTAGAAATGAAAGAAGACTCTTTTGAGTGATATCCCAATATAGCCTGTGCATGACAGATAGAGAATGACATAAAAAACTCCCTGCATTCTCCACTGGCACACATTCACACTGGTTTTCTCAATTGTTAGATCCATGTGGCTGAAGCGGAAGCTTCTTGAGTCTGCTCTTCGAACCCATATGAAAGTTTTAGACTATTGCTTTGAGCATTAGTTCTTTATTTAAGTCAACGTCCCTCACAGCAGTCATTGTTTCACTGACAGGTTAGTTTTTACTTCCTAATGCAGAACACCTCTCAGACACAACTCTCAATTTGTGTAATTCGTGCGTAGTGGCTCTGAGGCCCTTTAAGTTTTGGCCTTAGTTCTTCCTTGTATTTGCTTTATACATTCACAATAAACAGTTTGAAGTGTCCTACCTGCAACAGTTCTGCCATCCAATTCCTCCAATGTGGGTCACGCAAATTTGGATACAAGTATTTCCCTTGTTTTCCTACATCAGGGATAGCGTTGGGTTGATGATTCCTACGGTCAGCTTACGTTGCAGGTTAAAAGTTATATTTAAGTGCAAATGATCTCCTGCCACAGCTTGAGCAATCTGTTGATATTAGTACCTGGCATACTCCATAGAAAGTCAGCCAAAGCCTTGCCTCACGGAGAGGAAGAAAAGGAATTTTTAGATTTGGTTCAACTCCGTTGAGCTGGCTGCAGCTGAAAAGGCAGCAACCTCAATGCATCTCTTTTTTTTTTTTCCCAAGAAGTGAACAGCTGAGCTGCCTCTGACACATGACTCACTCCAGGTTTAAGAAGAGTCTCTTGAAAGCCCTAATTGCCCTGTAGGTGGGATTGATTTCAGCTGATTTTAGGCAGGTCAGGGATGGTGGTTCAGAACTATGCTCCCTCTGAGGGCAAGGGGATGTCCCCAACCAATTACACACTTACAGTAGCAGCTGAAATGCTATTCCGACTGGCAGTTTTCCCTCCCTTGCCTGTAAAGTGGGACAGGAGAGACTCCTTCAGGCATAGGCATGTCATGTCTTACATGTCTAACTCTATGAACTGTGCATCCCGAGCCAGCTGGTGATCAATTTTTAACCTAAAAGCTCTAAGAAATATCTGGGAACATCAAGGGATATGTGACTCCAAGGACAGAATTAGCCTGATAAAGCCTCCTGCCTTTGTTTAATTTGACTGGGTACCTTTAGGGGCCATGCTGTCTCTTGTAGAAATTTCATTCAACTCCAGCTGCTCACATTTCAATCTTCAGTCTTAAGTGACTACTTGTCAACTTTGAATCATTTACTCCTGTGAGAGGCTCAAATGACTCAAAACAACCAGCCATGCAAGGGGTGTTTTGCTGGGGCCGGGTTTGCAAAGGGAAAGAGGAGAGTGTTTTGTGCATGGTGGCGAAACCTCTGCTCTGTGTAAGACACAGGGGGTGAGCAGCCAGTACTGGAGGCTAGGTTTTGAGCCAGATAAGGGAGAAGGCTCACAAGAAGCAGACCCTGCAGAGGCAGGATAGCACATTTTACCATGCCAATTGTCATCCCTTTCACAACTGGCTCAGTTGAAAAACTGCCCCCACCCTGGGGAATGTATTGGGACATTCACATTATTCATCACTTCTGATGGGGCATAATTGGCTCAACTATGCTGATGTGAGACAGCTGTCATGTCTTCGAAGAACCATCGAAGACCCCTGAAGCGCCCCCAACTCATTTCTGGGGCTTTCACCAGAGGACTTAACATGATCCACAGCGTTACATCAGAGAGTGTAAAATTCCCCCCTGCCCTGCCAGGGGAGGTACCCGGGTGTTCCACCGAAATCTGAGTGTGTATTAACCCACAGAATTTTGTGATTCATGGGCTTCCCCCATCCCCAATGGGTCAAGACTGTGACCATCACCTTCATCACTGTGACATCAAAATTGCAACAATGAAGCCTTGTCGCAGCATCCTTGGGTGGTGAGATCTTTCTACTCTTATCCTTTCTTTCTCTTTCTTTTCCATTACACATTTTCTTAAGTGTTATTTTTATGCTTTTATCTTGCTGTATTACTATAGATAACTATAACCAAAAACTGCTTTCCTTTGCAGCCAATTTTTTCTAAAACAAATATATATATATATATAAAATAGATAGATATATATATATATATTTAGAAACACCAATCATTCAGTGTTACTTCACTCTAATCCACCCCAAGGGATCTATTAACAAGAACCTGAGTTGCCCTCTGGGGCGGGTTGTAACAGCCCCTTTCCCTTGCCTTTTTCCCCCTCCTCTTCCACTTCCATCCTTCCTTGCTTCCTACTTTCTTTCTTTCATGAGCCTACAAAAATCAACACAATTAATGGTTGTGCTGGTTTAAAAACCCGAGGGGGAAATTAACCCCACTCAAGCTGCCCCCTTTCCATAGCAGAGGAAAAATACTCGGAGAGATTATAAATTGGAATCACAATTTACTGAGGAAACCACAAGAATCATAACAACAATAATAAAAGATTGTACAAAAGAGGGAATGGTTTACCCAAAAAAAGGTTATCCACCACCAACCAAACAAAAACACTCCCTGAAGAGAGTGCCCAGTGTGTTTTTTTCCAGCCCGTTTATGTTTTCCAGCCCAGAAACAAAGGAGAGACAGAAAGAAAAAACAAAACCTGGAGAGATAGTTCATCCAGAATAAAGAGTTCTGCTGCTGAAATGCCGACTCCGATGGCAGCAGCAGCAGCAGCAGTTGTGTCTTCCCATCTCCAGCAACAGTTATGGCTTCCCCTGGCTGTGCTCCACTGGGGCTGCCAGTTCAGCAGCACAGAGAAGGTCTGTAGTCATGTGGAAAACAGGGGGGAGGACCAGCAGAGGGACCGAATCTGCCAGAGTCGATGGGCAGCGGTCCCTCCGCTGGGGCAAGCCAGCCAAAATGGCAAACTCCTGGGTTCTGGCTCTTGGCTTTTCCTGCTGAAAACCACATCTCTGCTGTGACGTGGGTGGTGTGGAATAAACACAGCTAAAACTCTGCCTCCTATCTCTACACCTAGGAGACTGTTCATTTCTTGCAGTAGGAAAAGAGAACCAAACAGATAAAAATCAGATTTGATTGGAATTACTGGAATTAAATTTGTATCCATCACCAACCTGAAAAGAGTTCTGAGTAGCTATTCTATAGTTGTGTTTCACTTAAGTTTAGTAAACCTCTCTTGTATGGATGAGAAGCCAGTTCTGAGAAATTAAAAGATTTGGTCACTGAGTGCAGAAACTTTGTTTCCACCCCATTTGCACTGCTTTCATTTCACTCTTTCACTTTTTTTTTCTCCTTTTCTCCTTTATTTTCACAGCTAAAAGATCTGGATTTCAATATTTGTCTTCATTATTTCCCATGATCTTTCCCATCTATTGCTATGAAGAAGGTATCAGCTTCAACCAGCCATTGATGGATCCTTTGGACTCGACTGAAAATCAGAACACCTCAAGTTTTGTGGCCTTAAGGCAGTTTTTGCTCAGAAATAGAATTGTAATGCATATTCTTCCTTAGTAATTCTGTTGCCAAGGAAAACCAACCAAAACCTGTTATTCTCTAAGAACCCTAAATGTTGTATCTTCACTAAATGAGTATATGCTTCAGTTGTGCTCTTATGCACTTTAGAAACACACAATCAACCTCAATACATCATCGATACTGACATCCAGCACCTGGAAGACACAATATTTAGCTTAAACCATCTCACAGTTTTTGTGTGCCACACTGACAGTTCAAAACACTGACAGAAAAAATCATGATGACCAAAGATGTCCAAGCGATCAACATTTTACTGCAGTCCAAAAGGAAAAGGAAGAGCAGTGAAAAACCGCGAAAGCACCTTGAACAAGGCAGCAGCAAAAACTTCTGCCTGACTCTGTGTAACACACGAAATAACCCCGACCAGGGGCACAGTCTTCATCTCAGTGTTCAGAGGATGAGTCATCAGAAAGATGAATCACTTCACAGGCTGTAGTGACTAGAGTCAACTTGGACATGTATGGGAAGGCATCTGGTGTTGCTTGGATGCTCTAGGATGTGTGAGTTATCAGTGTAGGACAGCTTGAAGTGTCTCAGACCTAAGGGAAACCAGCACCTCGCTAGAGCTGCAGCTGGAGGCTGAGGAGGACACCCTGGAGGATCCAAAATGAAATTCAGTGGTTATGTTGAGGAAACTGGATGCTGCCTGTGAAGATGGGCAGTAAGTATCTCAATCCAAACAAATCTCTGTGATGTTAATGTCAGTGTTTGGACCAGGCAACACGCCTCCTTCTACAGGCAGTGAAGGCTCTTCAAGGTCCTCGTTTCTCTCTAGATAACAAGGTGGAGTAGATCATCTTCTAGGCACACGACAGATGCTGAATTTCACCACTTAGTGGTGATTCTGCTCTCTTACGACATACTAGGGTATGATAACTGTTCCCCTAGCAAGCAGTGTTCTATGAAAACAGTGCTGCAGTTAAGAGCTCAGTGCTCAGCAGCCCTGCCACAAATCTGCTTCTGCTCCACACCAGCTCACCTCCTTATCTCTCAGTATGGAAGTCTCAGGCCAATGCTGTTGATCAGCCAGATTTGCCTCGGTGTCTATTTGCCGTATTACACACCTCAGCCTCCCTCCAACACATTGAATTGAATATGTTATGCCCAGGATGCACTAATGTCTTTATTTTTATTCCTATGTAGGGGGCACCAAGCAAACGCATCCACAGAATCTCAGCAAGGTCTCTGAATTCATCTTTCACAGTGTTTTTGACAACCCTCACCTCCAGAGTCTCTATGTTACAGTATATTGGTGTACCTCACTGCTCTCCTCAGCAACTCCCTTGGCCTTATAGCTACCATTGTCCACTCACAACTTCACACCTCTATATACTTTTACATCTCCAACCTGGCCATCCTTGACTTGGTAGGTGCCTCCTCAGTTCTGCCCAAGATGTCAGAGAACCTGATCCTGGGCAAGAACAGCATCTCCTTTGAGGTCTGTACAGCACAGCTCTACTCCTTTACTTTCTCAGGCTCTACAGAACTTATGCTATTAACAGTCATGTCTTATGACCTGTACCTGGCCATTTACCAGCCCCTTCACTACGTAACCATGATGAGCAAGGGGACCTGCGTCCCTTGAATGTTCAGAGCCTGAGGAATCGGTACCGTCAATTCCCTCAAGACCCCTTCTCCACCTGCCCCTCACACCTGCTGCCGGTGACTTGTTTTACTCCACTGTCATCCGCACCCATTTCCAGCTAACTAACACTACTTAGGGAAGAAAATGAAAACAGCGAGCACTGTGTGTGCTCTGGGGACTCCCACTCTGAATCCTCTGACCTATAGCCTGTGCAACAAAGAGATCCAAGTGCTGTTGTAGGAAATAGTGTAAGAGTCGGGTTTTGGGAAAGGGTACCGAACAGCACCCTGCGAGGTGTAGTTCCTATGTACTCCCAGGCACGTGGGCAGTAAGATACCCCATGGTAATTGGTCAAGAAAGTCACATGTTACTTTGACATGCATATAAAAGGTGTTGTTTGAATTAAATAAAGGGATTTGCCTCAGCACCCCCCAAGAAGCTAGTTGGGTCCGTGTAACTTATTCATGTATTATAATAATACACCATAAAATAGCACCATTTCACAAGGCAAAGTAAGACCCAGAGCCACACATCTGTGCTTTCTAGCCCTGTTCTGCATCATCCACACTTTGGGGTAGCTGCAACCCTTGTTGCCTTTAAGGGTGACATTGCTTTCACTGAAGTTCCTGTGACCACAACAATGGAAGATATTCAGGAGAAATACCCAGAGCATACCCAGAGCAGGGTGAGGTGAGTGAATCTTAGAAGTATTTGTTACTCTGAACCCTCTAGGAAGGTGAGCAGGAGCACAAACTCTATGGAGATGACTTTGCAGTTGCTTTGATTGAGGCTTTATAGTTCTGTATATGAGTTGAGATTAGAGCTTCTTAGCAAGCACAGCCTTGAGTTATAAAGAGTACAAGGTTAAAGCTGTTTGGTTGAGTGCAGGTGCTGCTTTCCTGGGTGGTTTTGTAAGAATATGTTTATGTTATATGTGTGGGAAAATAGAAGTTAGAGAACTCAATAAAAAAGCTGCGTGCTGTGCTGAGCAGGTAGACATCTCTCTGTCTCATCCTAGTGTGTCTCATCATCCTAGTGTGTGTGTTGTGTGTCTTTCTTCCCCCACAGACCAAGGCCTCTGACAGGTACCCTACAACATCTTTCTGCAAGTCAAATGAAGTCAACCATTTCTTCTGTGACATCTCACCTGTACTGAAATTGGTGTGCTCAGATACCTACATTTTTGAGCTTCTGGTGTTCATTGCCATTGTGCTGATCATGGTGCTGCCATTCATCCTAATCACCATCTCCTACATCTGCATCATCTATACCATTATGCAGATGCCCTTGGCTGAAAGCAGGCAAAGGGTGATCTCCACATGTGCTGCTCATCTCATGGTTGTTACTCTCTTCTACTGCACAACCTGCTTAATTCATTTACATCTCAAGTCAAGCCTCTCACCAAACAACAAACAGTTTGTGTCTCTTTCCTACACAGTCATTACACTGATGCTCAATCCCATCATCTATAGCCTCAGGAACAGTGACATAAGGGAAGCGCTAAACAGAACTTTTGGCAGAAAAGTGTTATCAGAAAGACTCACAGCGCTATCATTATAATTTTTCTAATAGAAATTTCAGAAGTTTCAGACAATCTGTAAAGGTAAACACAATATTGTCTTAAATTAAATGACAGCTGAATAAATACCTCAAATCTTGCAAAAGTCTGTCTGCCTGCAGAAGTCTACTATGTTTTTATTTATTTTATTTATTCATCCCTTTATAAATTTTCAGATTTTCCAGGTTTTAACAAACAAACAAAAAAATTCCACTATTATTTCCTTTGTAATATTTTCACCAATGTAAAATAAAAAGGAAGGAAATAAAAATAATCTTATACATCCTGTTATTCTTATCTTCTTTTCTTTCCCATCATTTAAAGATGTTAGCTGGGATAAGACACGTCCACTAGATCAACTCCTACTGAATTTTAACTGCCTAAAATTTGATCTTCAAGTCTAAGTCAATCAAAGGATGATCCCTTTATGGATAATGGGAAGAATAAGTCACTTCTGGGGGGCAGTCCTGCTCTAAGTTACCTGTCAAAGAGACACAGAGCAATCATTCTTGAGGAGTATCTATTCCTTGGCATTGGCTTAAGAAAGAAGAATAACACAGTCATCCAAGGTGTTCATTTCTGGTTACGATATCCACCCTGAGTGACTGGGTCACATTTAAATATCTAACAGATGAAATTCATTAAGTCATATATTTTTGTTTTCTTATTTCTTTGTCAATGGGAAAACAATGAGAAATGCAGTTCTATACTAAAGAACATGCAGACTAACTTTAAGGTAAAAAGATGTAATACAATATGCATATGTATATAAGGAGGGACTATATATGTATATAGAGAGGAACATTATATGAATACAGATTCATACACGTATTTATTTTTACATACTGGTGTATATCTTGGTATATATACATATATGAAAACGTATTATAAATTATGTTTGGCTAGATACATTTTCCTGAAAGCATCCAGCCTAGGGACCTCTTGGGCACCACAATACAAGAAAGATCTAAATCTATTAGAGAGCATCCAATGGAAGGCTATGAAGATGGTGAAGGGTCCAGAGAGGAAGCCAAATGTGGAGAGGCTGAGGGCACTTGTTTTGTTCAACTGGAGGAGACTGAGGTCAGACCTCAAAAGGGTCTGCAGCTTCCTCACAATGGGCAGCTGCGCTCTCTGTGATGAGTTACAGGACCCAAGGAAATGCCTGGAGCTGTGTCAGGGGAGGGTTAGGTTGGATATTAGGAAGTGGCTTCCCTGGGCAGTGGTCATGGTCCCAAGGCTGCCAGAGCTCAAGGAGCTTCTGGACGACACTCTTGGGCACAGGGTGGGATTGTTGGAGTGTCCTGTGCAGGGTCAGGAGTTGGATCCTTGTGGCTCCCTTCCAACTCAGGATATTCTGTGATTTTATGACCATTGACTGGTCCAAATGCCAAGTGCTGCAGCTGTCCTGCATCCACACCCCTCAGAGCAACCACTCTCTCCAGAGGACTATACAAATCTCTAATATATAGCTCTTGGACAGGTTTTATTTCTTTGCATATTTTTACAGTATAAATTACAAGATATCCCATGAGAGCAGTGTGGTATTCAGTGAGATTATTTGTGGTATTCAGTAATGGTAGTATTTTAATATTGTGATATGAAAAGTTCATTCACGAAGCCTAGCCATGATGAATTGCAAACATTGCTATAGACATGGGAAGATGTGTTGTAGAAGAGGAGCCATGGGATGATAGACTGTGACGTTTTGTGTTATAGTGTGTGATAAAGCTCCTCTGATCACCTACAAAGCAGCTGAAAGAGACAGTGGCAGGAAGGGAGCCCAAATATCCTGCTGGGCTGGACCTGGGCCCATCATAGGGGCCATCAAACCAATAAAGCCTAGAGGAGCACAGATACGAACCATGTTAGTGGGAACCAAAATCAAGGACTCCTGAGGAAGGAGTGCTATGTCCCAGCAAAGCCATCAGCCCCAGTGTCCAGGCATGACACCCATCAACTTCCCGGATCACCTTTGGGACTTAAGGGGTGCTGCTACCTAGGACTGGGACACATTATGATGCAGAGGAAAAGCAGTTTGAGATCATACAGGACTTCTTAAGGCATACTTAGGGGAGGAAAAAAAGGCAGAAAAATGGTGGAGTCTAGGTGATTTGGGGGGGAACAATGTTGGAAAAATAGAGGGGGAAGGGGATAAAAACTAGCTCATCATGTAAATAGTTGACTTTTCTGACCACGTCCTGCTCTGATCAGCACAGTCTATCCTGTCTTCTTCAAAAAGTCCTTACTGACTCTCTACTGGGTGAGAGCTCCCTACTCAGTATGCAGGTGTTTACGAGGATGTGAGTGTGGCACCCGGAGCCAGACCATGGCTCAGAAGGTCTGTGTGTCCCTGGGGTAGTGAACGGAGTGAGTGCAGGTGTGCAAGTGAGAGTGTAACAGCTATGGAAAATCAACCAGATGAGCTGGTGAGCAGATTAAGTGGTCTGGGAGGGAGGGGGTGAGAGGGTCCTTAAGGGCAGTTCGTGGTATGAGAGCACAGGGGGATTAGCTATGGGCTGAGTGTGAGAGAGGGTCTCTAGGGGTGAGAGTACAGCAATGTAGTTATTGGGACCTGGTCAGTTCTGGCCAGAGACTGGAACCCAGGGGTCAGCTACTGGGCAGACAGTGTCTGAGCCCAGCTACTGAAGGGATCCACCTCTTACATTGCTGTATATCTCTTTATTCTCACCAGTGCACGTCTGTTCTATCCAGCTGGAGAGGGGAGCAAGATGAGGCCATTGATGCTGCCTGTGTTTGTGTGAATGTTCTGAGTGTCTGTTTGGGAGCTGTCTGCCCAACCATGAATGTATGTATAGATATATGTACCCATGTAGTCTACATGGGTTTGTTGGTGTGTGTGCCTGCTAGGAATATATCTCGAGCCTCTCTACTGGTTAGCCCTGGGGACACGGATCCATGGCAGTCTTGCCTCTCTCAGATTGGTGGATCTGGGATGATGCATTTTCCTCCAAAATTTTAAGTGTAAAAACCTGATATCGGTAATTTTAAATCCTAATATCTATTATGTGATTCTAACAGGGCTGCCACAACAGAGAAGAATCTGTACTCCTATTGGCTAAATCTGCTTGCAAGAACAAATGTACATACTCCCTGTCACCTCCTAGCCTCTGTAATTTACCAATTGCAGGAGCCCACAGTGCTGCTTTTTTGTCTTTCAAGGCACTGAAGTCTGGGGATGGATTTCTGTCTGATGTATTTGGATGTACCACTGGATGTACCACTCAAGCAGAAATTTCCTACAGAAATTTTTCCTTCCGAACTATGCAGTCTGAGTGAAGACTCATTATGTCCCACCCTTAGACCCTGAACAGAGTTGCTCTTTTTAAATACCTTTTGGTATTCATGTTCTTATTTTACCAGACCAAAAACCTACTGCAGCTGCATGTCTTACCAAGGCCTGAACAAGTCAGACTTTCAAAGACCAGTGCTATACCACCAGGTCCAACAGATTATATCCTCTCAACATTACATACCAGCCTTCTCTGATGTGTTCTGCACAAAGAGTAAATGTTCATTCTCAAGGGTGTGGATTTCCAGTGGGGTGGGAGGGGGCAGACCACGTTAACACGCATACAGCACAGGTCCAATAGTTGTCACAGCAGTTTTCAGGTTTCATCAGGGGACGTCCAGCGTGAGCTCTAGTAGACTTTGTTTTCTCAGATATCTCCTCATCAGTGCTAGACTGTCCAGAAATTTATTGTTTCCTTAATTTCCTTTTATCTGTTTCCCTTTACCCAACCCCAGCCCTCTTTAATGCTGAATACCTGCTGACCAGGTATCCCCCCAAACTGCATCAGCTTTCAACTCCAGGTATTTTTACAGAAAGCAGAGTAATAGACTCATCTACATTGACAGAGATTTAAGAACTGGATTATTTCTCAGGCAGGCAGGTTGACCTTTAACATTTTTGCTGCTTCTCCAGTCTTTGAAAGAGCAGTTAAACACAGATGTGTCCTTTTGTTCCTGGCTAGGAGCTGATGCTCCTTGTTCTTCTTTGCATTACAAAAACATAGCCTGAGGATGTAAGAAGGAAATGTGCCAGAGAGTCGCCTATGAATACATCATTTCCATGTGTGTAAATCCACTGGGGTCCCTGATTGATTATTTGAAGGGACCACCCTGCCCGTCCCCATCCAAATTGAAGACTCTTCAGTATTTTCTCAGTAACTTTTTACTCAGCTCTCTTGTAGAACAGGGTTTCTGCTGCGTAGGATGAAAGTAAAGCAACAACTTACCTTTCCTTGCTTTTTGCACCTGGAGTGTTGGCTTATTTGCTCCTTATTTTGCTCTTTACTCACCCTCTTTGTAAGTTAAGTAATACCTGATATACATCAGATAATCACACCTGTAGGTATTTCCTTCCTACTTTTTCCTACTACTATCACAGCCTACAGCATTCATATAAATTAGAAGTTTTATTTGAAATTCTGTTTTTAAGAAGCTTCTACAACTTGTCAGTAGGAAAACAAAAAGCAAATAGAAGCTCATGTTACAATTGTGTAAAACCTGAAAGCATTTATATAAATATGTTATATATTTATACAGAACTGTGTATTTACATATAGATAGTTTTGTAATGATGGAGTCATCTATTATCCCTCTGTAGTCAGTGAAGTGAGATCAGCACCATAAAAAATTAATTTTACTTAAAAGAAGGACCTAAAACTAGGGAATTATGAGAAATAAATAACCTGGTTTTATTATAAGCAAATGAACTTAGTAGGAAGACAGAAGGGGGTGGGTTTTTTTTAACCAAGAGGGTTTAAACCAAGAGGTTTTTTAGGCATACTGCAGAAAATGTAAGGTGGATGGTCCTGTCTGGACCTGATGCCAGGGAACCTTTCGCGGCCAGGAATGGGGAAAATACATAAATAAAGATGTATCCTCTCTGCCGTGCGGCATCCTCTGTGTACAGGGGGACCCCCCTGTACAGGTCCAGGGGGGTACATCACAATCAACCAAGGGAAAGGGTAACATCCCCTCCCCATCAGAGAAATTACCTTTTAAGGTGAAAAACCAGTGGTCAATGAATATGTAACAGCTTATGTAACCAAAAGAATACAAAAGCCATGATTTTCAAAGGGTTGGTGTGCTTCCAGACCCTTGTGATCTTGGAGCACCCAACCCTCTGCAATAAAAAACACTCTCCTTGTCCTACAGGTATTTTTGCCATCCTTTAAATCTAAAAGAGGAATTTTTCCAACAGGAATAGACCATCTTTTTGGAGTGCTTGTTTTCTCTCTGTTGACTACAGAGAAAACAAAATGCATCTGCTTCAGAATTAAGAAAAGTAAGGCAACATTCATCCTGTCACTGGAGGATGAATTAGAATGACAGCATTTCTCTGCTTCATGCAGTGTCCTGTGAAGTATCTTGTGATGCACACCGTTAGATCCATAAAAATTACTGAAGAAGTATTTGGAGGTTCATTATTCCTTTCTTCAGACTCAACTTGACTTTTTTTACACTATTGCTGCTGATTTAGTACTGCCAAGCTGCAGAATCAAAGCATTACATACTTGCACCATCAGTAGACATCCTCATTAACAGGGATGCCAGGTGGGAACCTATTTGTTTGTGTATGGAATAAATGATGAAACAAGGGAGAAATAGAAACAAACACAGCAAAGGGACCATTAGACCCCAAGCATCCACTCACAGGTAGTTTTACAGGGAGTTGGAGGATACATAAAGCATTTGGGAAGAGAAACCATGTCAGAAGAGATTGCTTTTCTATCTGTGACTTTCTAAATGGGAGGAGGAAGGAACCAGGGAGGCTTATCCTGAAAGTGCCATAAGGTAAGCGTGCCCTTCCCTTCCTGGTTGGCTTGTTTCATTACCTGCAACCACTAGGAATTCACCTTTCTTTCCTTCACATAGTCTTAGACTTCATATAAGTATGTAGAGCAACCCTGATGACATCTTTTAATTGAAAAACTGTTAGAGAAGGGGCCAGGGGAGAACATATGAAGAAGTCTGTCTTAACAAGAAAGATCATTCCTGAGTTACAGAATTAAGTATGATACATTGGGAAAAATCAGTCTGGATTTTCTAAAGATTTGACTTGCTTGAAGTTTTAAACAAATAGGTAAATAAAGTAAATGTGGTTCTTACATTCTATTTGGATTTTCTCAGAGCTTTTAACGGAAATGAAAGCATCCTATAGTAAAAGGAATGGGCCTTAATTTAATTTAAAAAGAAAATCAAACAGCAATAAAAGAACACTCATCACACGAGAAAGAATTTACTAGACAAGTTCACAGACTCCCATGTCCAAGCTCATTGTATACAAGGTATTCATAAGTATTCCTAATTATTTGGAAAATAGATGAGTAAATGAACTCAGCTGTGGAGACATTCCGAAAGATTGGATTGCTTGAGTCACTAAGTTTGCTAAGATGGCAGGTGGAATTTGATGAAGACAATTCTGAAGTGCTGCATCTGAGGAGAAGTAACGATCTTAGGGAATACACCTGCTCTGTGCACTCTAAGAATGCGCTTGACAACATCTCCAATAAGTGCAGTAAGAACTTAGACAAGTACCTCACATGATAGTATGTATTTGAAAACAATCTGTGTTGAATCCTACCCTTATTTTTTAACATACAAAAGTGAACAAAAGCCTGCTACCATGAATTCTACCCTCATCCAAGTAATTTGTCAAACATCAAAGAAACCTTTCATGTGTACAACTGAGTGAGAATCTCTAAAATTTAAATATCAGAATAAATTACTGCGAATGACTTGAGATAAGATGTCTCATTTAGATGTCTCATTTCATTTAGACATCTAAGAGATAAATGAAGAAGTCTGAAGTCAATAGTGCCCCGTGGAATCATCCAGAAAGCAATCCTGGAGAAGCTGAAGCATAGAGGAACCTAGGGCCACTTGGGATGTCCAGGAATAACTTGTCTGCAATCCAAGTGCACTGCTTAAGATTGGTTTCCTCAAGACTGACAGTTATCACACATCTGTGCCATATCTGTCAGCCACATGTAGATGGCTCTGGTACTCAAAAATATTCAGTGACTATAAACAATTAGGCTGAGTCACCTGACTGTGCTGGGTTTGGCTGAAATAGGCTCAGATTTCTTCGCAGTAGCATGTATGGGGCTGTTATTTGGATTTGTGCTGGAAACAGTGTTGATTACATAGGGATGTTTTAGTTATTGCTGAACAATTGCCAAGCAGTTGCTCACATGGCCCTGCCAGCAGGGAGGCTGGGGGTGCACAGGAGTTTTGAGGGGACAGAGCCAGGACAGCTGACCCCAGCTAACCAAAGAGATATTCAATAACACAGCATATAAAAGCAGGGAGAAGAAGACGGAAAAGGAGGATGTTCAGAGCGATGATGTTTGTCTTCCCAAGCCACTGCTGCACATGATGGGGCCCTGCTCTCCTGCAGATGGCTGAATACCTGCCTGCCCATAGAAAGTAGGGAATGAATTCCTTATTTTGCTTTGCTCCTGCGCGGGTTTTGATGTACCAAACTGTCTTTGTCTCAACCCATAATCTTTTTCATTTTACCATTTCGAGTCTCTTCCGCCTCCCATCGCTGGAAGTGAGTGAGTGGCTCAGTGGTGCTTAATTGTTTGCATGACACTGACTTAATTCAGGTCATCTGAAGAAATGCATCTGCCTTCCCAGCTAACCCAGAAGGAGAGTTCTCTTTCCTGCTTCTGCCCATTGATTATGGCAGTCTGAGGCCAGTCTCTCTGACCTGAAGTTTAAATCACAGGTGATTTTTGTGCTTAGAAGAAAACAAGGGACTGCAATTCCAAATTCATGCTCAGATTTGAATGTTTTCTATTCATAGTTAAGTCGCCTGATTCCTTTGGACCTTAGCTAGTAATATAAAATTTAAGTTTGTTCGGCAGATCGAATGAAGACTAACCACTGACCTCTGTAATCGTCAACCTCTGAGCTAGTAATTACTTGCTCTCTTAGAATTAGTGGAGACTGAACAAACAGAGTTACTGGATTTTTATAGCAAGAGACACTGTATCATGAAATGGACCTGTAAATTAAGTCAAACCAATCCTGCTATTTCCACCACTAAAGGATTTTTTTAATACTAATTTTAACTACCAATGTGTAAAGTCTGATAAAATTAATCCTGACGTCAGTGACATATTCACTGTGAGTATGGAAAAGGCTTCAAGAAGACAGTTAATTGACCTAATTTTATGGTTCTGTCACTAGTTTTGCCCAGATACAAAAACCGAAACATGACACCCAAGCAAGATCAAGCTTCTATTTTATAAACCTTTTATTTTTTCAGCTAATTCCAGACTTAAGTTGAAAATAATAAGCACTGTAAGTTATGTAATAATTTTTTTTTCCTTTTCCTAAACACAGGCAGTCTCTCTGAGGATCTCTGAACAGAAAAAGTATTTTGATTAAAGTATAAGTAGACCATTAGCAGGACTTAAGACTGCTCATTGAACAACTTTAAAAACAACTTCATATACTTGAAGACAAAATAAAATATGAACATTAAATATCCTTATCTTTCCATGTTGATAATGGGAGAAATAAGTTTGCCACCTTTGTTAGTAACTACTTAGCCACCTAACATAGATGCTCGATGCTCAGAAAGTTACGATAATCTGGAGTAAATCAATATGTGACTCTTATAGAGAAATTATATTTCAAGACATGGAATGGAAAAGCACACAAAAATTATTTATTTCCTTTGTACATGATGAAATCTTTGATTGAACTTCAAAACAAATACCTGTGACTGAAGAAATTTCTGATCTTTGCACAGCCATTGCAACTTGGCTTCTCCAAAGCAAAGTCATGTCCCCACTGTTCACTGAGAGTGTGTAGTACCAAGCACAGATTTTTCTTTTTTTTTTTTTGGACATGCAAATACTAGTTTAAAAGCAGACAAAGTCTTTATTTTTGAAGTATGGAATGCTATATGGTTCTTCTGATTTTAGGCATATATTTTGAGTGATCTTGATGACTTCTGGAAGGGGGATGGATGCATCTTGACTCTGACAGGGAAGGTGATGAAGATCAGCCTCACAGACTGTAATTAGTTGGCATAAATACCTTCTTAAGAAAAAAGGATTTTCATTTGCAATCTTTCCAAGGAATTGCATATAGAAGATTCTACTTCCTGTGTTAACTGACATACCTGCACTAAAAATTGGTAAACTCCTCTCAACATCTCAAAATATTTTCATGGACTTTTCTTATAACTGTCATGAGAAGGACAGAGCAGGAGAATAAAACAGCTGTGGTGGAATTCTTCATCCTTGGTTTCCAAAGTATTCCAGACGTACAGTTTATGCTCTTCTTGATATTTCTAGTGATTTATATTATAACCTTGTTACGGAATCTCCTGGTTGTGGTGCTGGTTGTGACTGACGATAACTTCCATAACCCCATGTTCTTTTTCTTGGGGAATCTGTCATTCCTGGACACTTGTTACACTTCCACCATTTTGCCCAGGATTCTGGGCACTTTTCTAACGGACAAATATGTTATTTCACTCCATGGTTGTTTCCTGCAGTACTTCTTCACTGGGCTGGCAGGCGCAGAGTGTTGCCTGCTGACTGTCACATCCTATGACCGGTACACTGCGACATGCAAACCGCTGCATTACACGGCCATCATGAACAGCAGGGGCTGCCTCCAGCTGGCAGCTGGATCCTGGCTCACTGGGCTCTTGGCTGGTGCCGTGGTCACCTCTCTGATGTCACAGCTGACTTTCTGTGGCCCAAATGAAATCGATCATTTCTTCTGTGACTTTGCACCCGTGGTTAAGCTCTCCTGCAGTGATACCCACTGGATTGAGCTTGTAACATTCGCCTTGGCCTCCCTTTTGACACTACCACCATTTCTCTTGACACTCATATCTTATGTGTACATTAGCAACACTGTCCTCAGGATCTCATCCTCCGTGGGAAGGCATAAGGCTTTTTCTACCTCTTCTTCCCACTTCACTGTGGTGACAGTTTTCTATGGGACCCTGATTTTTGTGTATGTGGTACCAAAACCAACCACATTTGGAAACCTCCACAAAGTGTTCTCTGTGTGCTACACAGTTCTGACTCCACTGGTCAACCCCCTCATATATAGTTTAAGAAATAGCAACATAAAGAAGGCTTTGAGAGCAGTTGTTAACAAATATCGTGGTTTTGCTAAGGCATGAACAAGCCCATGTCATGTGCATGTGCATGCTCATGTCATTTAAGTGCAACTGAAATATCAGCCCTATAAAAACTTCTCATCTAGACCTAAAGTTTTCTTTTCCCCTGGAAAGGAGACAAAGTTTCCAGCATTCTAAGAGGGTCATGTGAGTGAGCACCCTAGCTGCTGGGTTGGTAAGGCAATTTTTTCCCTTGCACTAATGAATGTGTAAGCATTTCTATAGAAAGAGAAAAAAAATCAAACAAACCACAAAATGACATCCTTAAAAGAGGAGAGAAATAGCATTGGTGTCTCCAACATTTCCATGCTTGCCAGGTCTTTGTAATTATATCTACATCCAAGCTTTCTGATTCTCAGAAGTGCTTTCAAGTTGGCTCATTGTCTGGCCTAAGAAGAGGAAAAGTGATTAAAAGTGAGAGGAGGGTTACGAATACATTTAGCTCTGCCACAACCAATAATATGGGCCAAGCTTACAAATACAGAAGGTATAAGAGTAATATCTACGGATCCGTTACGTACAACAACACAAGACTTGTGTCTTTTGAACCAGCAGCACTACATGCCTGTCAGTCAGTAAATGGTTTGATTTCAAAACACACACCAGTGTCGTTTATGTGCACTTGTTCTCAGGGTTTTGTATCATTTGTGACAAGAGCTAAGGTAATGTAGTTGTGTGGTAGGATGAAATTTAAGTCTATCTTTTAGTTATAGTTATGGTGTAGCTTAGATGCAGCATAGATGAGACAATGGCCTGACCTGGGACATGATGCTAAACCTGGAATAATTGATAGGTTTCATTTATATATTTCAATGTGTTACTTCATAGCCCGGATTGAAAATCTGTCTATTCCACTGACTTCCCCTGGCAGCTTCTATCAAAGGATAGATGGGTTTGTGCATAGATAAGACACCTGGAAATCACAGAGGGAGGAATGGTCCCAAAACACAGACACTTGAACACAGGAGAGAAAATTTTTTATGCACAGTTAAGATGAAAATTAGCAGTGCTGGAATGGTCACAGTGGACGATAGAGCAGGTCCATGGAAGAACATGGAGAAAAACATTTTTTGGAGTCTCATCCTATCCACCTGAAGACGGCTGCTGCAAAGACTCTTGCAAGAGTCTTATTACCATCTGAACTGGGAGCAAGGATCCTTTCTGGAGATTTTAATTCGCCATCTGAGCATTACCCTTTGCAAAGATCCCCATAAATTATTATTACATTTTAACAAACATTTTGTGACTATCTGTGCAAAATAGTCAATGGAGGGTGTCCTGGATCTGTGTGGGATGGCGTAAAGAACCCATACAGTGTTGTGCTTTGTATTCATGGCTAGAAGAGTGTTGATAACTGTGTTAGGTTTATGTGGCAAGGTTGGGGTGGAAGTGGTAGGTGAGGCTGCAAGAGTGGCCTCTGTGAGAAGGAGTCAGGTGCGGCTCTCATGCAGGACACAGACAGCTCCAAAACAGAACCATAGCAGAGCACAGCTGAGCACATCAGCCAAGCTGGTGGTGCCCCTGGGAAAACAAATTTAAGAGCAGAAAACCTCAGGCAGGCAGAAGACAAGGCATAAAAAGAGAATGAAAACCAACCCTGCAAACACAACAGTTAAAGGAAATGGAGGAATGGGAGCAGATATTTCCCTGCATCCCATGGAGGACCACATGCCAGAGGAGCATGATGTTTCCTGAACATGGGGGGACCCCACTGGAAGAGGGGAAAAGCTGAAAAGGAAGGAGCAGCAGAGCTGTTATGTACTGAACATAACACCCCCATCCTCCACACCCACTGTGATGCTTGGGGCAGTGGTCAGAGTACGGTGGAGGAGTCAGGAATAAGGCAGTGAAGTTGAGCCTGGAAGAAGGAGAAGGAATGTGTTGTTCTAATTTTTATCTTTGTTTTTCACTACCCAAATCTTTTTTAACTGGATTTTGTCCCAGCCTTAGACACTCAGCCTGGGCAGTATCCAGCCCTTGGATATTCCCATCTCCACTTGCCTCACACACACAGTCACACACTCACAGTAACAGGTGTCACAGGTGATGTCCAGAGCTCAGGGGCTCTGCCCTGTTTGTCTTGATCCTGCTGTTCAACCCTGCAGAGTACATCTGGTTTCCAAACAAAGTTATGGTTTACAAGTCCCTTGCCCTCCTCAGGCAGACAGGTTGGCCTGCCCAGTTCCTGGCACAGCAGCCACAGGAGGCTCCGGGAACCATGGTCCCTGCTCTGGTTGCTGGCACTAAGACAAGACTTTAATCTTTACCCAACCTTTCACCGGTCTCCACCTCGGAGCTGTCAGGTTTTCCTGTAGGGTTTCCCCAGAAATGAAGTTGCCAAAGAACCCTTGTGACTGTCTTGGAAGAGGAGGAGATGTTCCAGATGCTGGAGCTGAGATTCCCTTGTGAGCTGTGGTGAAGACCATGGTGAAGTAGGTTGTCCCCTGCAGCCACTGAGGTCTATGGTGGAGCACATTTGCACCCTGCAGCCAAGTGAAGCACCTCACTCAGGAGCAAGGGGATGACCCCTGATGGAAGCTGTGACCCCATGGAGAGGGATGAGGAATGGGGGTTGTGGTCAGTTCATAACATTTTGTTTCTGACACTGCTTCCTTCTCACATTTTTCTTTAGGATTGAGTTGCTCTCGTGAGCTGCAAGGTAAACCTGCTTCAGCATGGGCTCTCCACAGGTCACAGTTCCTTCAAGGCAAATCCACCTGCACTACCATGGTCTCATCCACTGCCTGCAATGTGGAAATCTTTCCCAATGTGGTTACAGGCTTCAGGGACATCTCTGCTCCATCGAATACGCTGCCCAGGGAGGTGGTGGATTCACCATCCCTAGAGGTTTTTAAGATGAGGCTGGATGTGGCACTTAGTGCCATGGTCTAGTAACCATGGCAGTGTTGGATCAAGAGTTGGACTTAATGATCTCGAAGGTCTTTTCCAACCTGGTTGATTCTATGGCTGTGATTCTGTGGTCTCTCCCACAGACAGTAGGGGAATATCTCATCTGGCACCCAGAGCACTCCACTCTCCTTCTATGACTTTGCTGTTCACAGGATTGTTTCTCACCCATTTTTTTAGCCCTCACTCCTCCCTGCCATGCAACATTTTGACCATTTGCAAATGTTTGTTTTGAAAGGCACCACCAGTTTCATTGATTGGCTTAACCCTGGCCTTAGATGGTTCCACTGCCAAGCCCTTTGGAACTCTCTGTGTCTGCTATTAGGTCAGCATGAAGGCAGTCCCTGGTCTCTTCTCAGGGAGGTCACCCTGCTCAACATCACATCACTGTTCAACACCACTTTCCTTTCCTGCTCTGATTGTAGCACGAAACAACTTTGTTGTTTTTCTGTGCTGCAACCAGCTTAGTCTTTCCCACCATGAAGACCTATGACTGTTGGGTCACTATCTTCAAACCTCTGAACTATGAGTCATGGGCAGGAAACCTTGCATGCAGATGGTCACTAGAGCATGAATTAGAGCTGTTTTCTACTATGTGTAGCACACTGACACTACCAGAGTGTAGTTATAGAAACACAAGATAGTCAAGGTCAGAACGAATCTTCAGCTGTCATCTGATCCAACACCTCTGCTCAAGCATAGCCACCCAAAACACCAGTTGCTCAGGACCGATTCCAGATGGTTTTTTAATATCTCCAAGCACAGAGACACCACAGCATGGCTGGCCAACCTACACCAGTGCTCGATCACCCTCACAGAAAAATGTGTTTCCTGATGTTCAGATAGGGCCTCTCATGTTTCGCTTTGTGCCCATTAGCTCTTGTCCTGTCACTGCACACCTCCATGAAAAGAACCTGTCTCTCTCCTACCTTCAGATATTCCTGTACACGGGTAAGTTCCCACCAGAGTCTGCTCTTTCAAGGGTAAAAAATCCCAGCTCTCTCAGCCATTCCTCATAGGAGAGATGTTCCAGTCCCTTCACCATCTCCGTGCTGCTTTGTTGGACTCTCCCCAGGCTATCTGTGTCTCTCTTTTAGTGGAGAGCTCAGAACTGCCACAGTACTCCAGGTGTCACCTCACCAGTAGAGGGGTAGGATCACCTCCCTCAACTTGCTGGAAATACTCATAGAATTCTAGAATAATTTGGGTTGTAAAGGACCTTAAAAGTTCATCTAGTCCAAGCCCCCTGCAATGGTCAGAGATGCCTTCTGGTAGATCAGGTTGCTCAGATCCCATCCAACCTGACCTTGAGTGTTTCCAGGGATAGTGCATCTAATATATCTCTGAGCAACCCATTTAATTGTTTCAACTCCCTCATCATAGAAAATTTCTTCCTGACATCTAATCTCATAATTAAGAGGCTAATCTTGTTCCTTGTATCTAATCTAATAACTGAGAGGTTAATCTACCCTCTTCTATTTTAAAACTATTACCACTTGTAGTATCACAACATGTTCCAGTATAGACATCTGAGGGACACCACTTGCCACTGATGTCCATGTGGATATTGAGCAATGGATCCCGACACTCTGAATGTGACCATCCAGCCAATCCCTCCTCTACTAAACAGTTGACCAATCAACTTCATATCTTTCCAATTTAGAGAGAAGGAAGTTGTGGGTGACCATGTCAGAAGCCTTACAAAAGCCTTCAACAATCGACAGGAGGCATTTCAACACAAAGCAAACAGTTCCTAATTACTGCGTGCAATATTCAGTCTGCCTTCATCACCTGACTTGCACAGTGCTGAGGCAGGTTCAGTAACTCATTCCCCAGGCCTCCAGCCTGTCCCCTGAAGGGGGTTGATTTTGTCCCAGGTGCAGAGCTTTGCAAATGTTGAGCTAAAATGAAATTATAACAGGCTCTTGTATTATGCAGACACAGTAAGAAAGGTTTTTGGTGGATTTCAGCTAAACCCACTAAGTTCACTCAAAATCCACCCTCAGGTCCAAGCTGCCTATGTAGGCTCTCTCAAAAGTCAGTGCTGAGAACATGAACTGGAGTCTTGTGCATTTTTCTAGACAGGTCAGAACATG